GGATGAGATGGAACGACAACAAGAACAACAGCAATTACAACTCTAGAAAGCTGAGAGATCTGAGTTAAGGAGACAAGCTCAATTGTACAAGCTTCAAATAGCCCAGGAGAAGCGTGTTGAGAGAGAGAGGCTCAAGGAGGTGAGAGAGAAGGAGAGAGCCGCCAAGGTGGCTCAAAAGGAGGCTCAAAAGGCAGCCCGGGAGGCTGAAAAAGCTATACAATTATCCCAAAGGGGTAAGCGCAAAGCCTTATAAGGCTCCTCCTAAAAGCAGAAGCGTCAGAAACGTGTTGTTGTTGATTCATCTCATGTACAAGCTAAGGTGGCTGCACTAGCCGTCCTAACTTAGACCACCCGCAACGGCTGCACCACTAAGCTACTAAGTAGATACAAGTAGCCTATCATGATCGCAATGCTATAATTACTACAACACTATGAAATCTCGTGATAATAGCGACTGTGGGTGGCTATACAGCCTCATCTTTTGCAATAGGTTTTTTGGTGGGGTGGGTCATTGCGCGTCCTGGGTCATTGCGCGTCCATGCAGGTTACCAAACTTCAGCAGCTTCGGAGCCCTGCGGCCCCGGGGCTCCGCACGTGGCGTACAAAACTTCAAGCCACAGTCGGCGACCAAGGCAAGTGTGTTGAAGTCGCCGTGTGTGATCAGGCGTAGCCGTCGCTAGCGTGCAAGACGACCTTGAAGCCGGCGGGATTAATAATGTCGGTGTTGAGAGGAGACGCCGGCCCATCTTGGTTAGCGTGCTTGGCGCTTTGTGGTGCGCGGCACCTCAGCTAATCGAGGCCGGAACATGAATCTTCGTCATGACACTTGATCGCGTCGCCAATCGCTCAATCTACTCCATCTGGGCCGCGGAGACTACGACTGTCCGATAGAGATCGATTCCATCCAACTCAGACTCGCTGCAGCGAAGCGAAGTTATCGACTCTGCCTTGCCACGATGTCGGCTCCTTCAAGCGCGCGCATGCAGCCATCAGCATTGTGTCACGACATGTGCCCCTCTCAGTGGCTGAACAAGCGATGGCCTGGGAGGGCTGACATGTTATTCTGGCGGAAGATGCCGCACATGCTCCATGTGTTCTGCCTCACTCGAGCAACTCGACATGTTGACAAGGGTTCTGCAACCCCGTTGCTTCTGACGCCGCTTACGACTCATCGAGGCGGCACAGGTGCGGTCTTGACCAATTGCACCCCTGTTACTGCTCTTTGACAAATTTCCGTTGCTCGTCAAACCATCCAGTCGACAAGCACAGTCGAGTATGGATGCATTCGACAGATGTAAACGCGCTAATCTTTATGCGCAGTATCCTCATACTTTCGTCGTTTGCTACCTCAGTACCAAGCTACTTATTCGCCGGTCCCAATATAGACAAGTTTCAGGAACTTGTGTGATACTTTGACGGTGCCAACGAGCTGGGACTAGATCGAATTGCGTCAGTTGGCTGCTGTACTTACAGGATGCTTCGTGGCAGTACCCCCCATACTGGCCTGTACAACTACCTCTTGTGGGAGGATCGCATCGCCACCACATTCCAGGACCACCGCCGGCGCAACCGACATCATTGGCATGGCCAAACAGGCCGATATACTTGAGGAAGACACACAGCACGAGGAGGAGGAGCGAGCAAACTCCAGATATAAAAAAATCGGGGGAGTAGGCTCACCTTCGACATTTTTTCAAACCTAATCCCATCCAAAACCGTCACTAGGCTTTCTAGAAATCAGCCCATTCACGATCGCTTAGCGAATTGTTGCAGCCAAGAAGCTAGAGATGCTCGAGATGCACCAATCGGGGTGCTTGCCTCGCGTCTCTGCTCTGTTGCGCGGCACGCGCCTCCTGGGTTCCTTTTCCCGCGGGTATTCCGCCCCAAATTGCAGTGGCAGAGACGTCCGCTTCATAAGAACGACGGGAGCCACACTCACTATTGCCCCAAGGCCATGCCATCGGTGGCATTTGAGTTTTGGCCCGTCAAGTGCATTTTCGTAGCGGCCGACGACTATGCCCAATGGAATGGCCGTCTACATGGTGCACTTGTGCTAGACGATCCTGGATCAAAACTCATCTCCCATGGTTATGCCTGTCCTGCAACGGGTCACGATGGGATGGCCGCCGCCGTGCTTCGAGTAAGTTGGGCGCCGTTGATCTCAAATCCGTCTTACGCACTTCACCACGCGTCGATCACTTACGTGCTTGGAATCATGTTAACTTCGATGGGTGATCCCCCAAGACCGCGCCACACTGCCGCCCAGATCGTGCTATCCTGTTTGGTCGCCGTGTGCGCAACGGAAACACATTCGACAATGCAGATAAGAAAAGAACATGACTGGGAACACATATGAGCATGGCCGGCCATATCACCATCACAGCACAACCGCATTCACATGGAGACACCTGGCCAAGGCTGTGATTGAGCAGATCCGACTCCACAGGCGCTCCGGCTGATTGGTCCCGTATGGATGAAGAATCTTGGTACACTACAGCACTTGGTATCCGCGGCTGTCACGTTCGGCTAGCTAGGTCAAAATCCCACCGGCACTCTCAAGAGCCGCTAGCTTCCCCAAAGACGAGCTTCACTAAGATGACCATCGTACATGACAGCTGTGTAAAACCTAGCTGTTGGGTTGTTGCACTGGATGCACCGTGTTATTGGATTTCAGTCACCAACACGCTCTGGCATGTGGATGCGTAAATAGTACGCGTGGCTGTACCCGGGAGCAGTGTAGACGACTGAAACAAGTCGAGGCAGCATGAAAGAGGTTGAGTTGAGCACGGCCTATAATGCATGCCCTACACTATGAGGCTTAACCCATGGTAGGACCCCTGCGCCCGTAGTCAGTAAGCGGCAGGCTGAACGTGTCGCTGCTAGCTTGGCTGCCTACTTGCATCACTGCGGTTCTCTCCGCTCTGGCAATGGCTGGCTGTCTACAAGACTTATCCACTAGGCCATCTCGCTTCGGGCACCTCTGCCGCAGGTCCAGGTATAGATTTGGCGCCCACTTGGCGAGCTGAACGGCTGTCTGTCCCACAGGAACAACGGTTGACGAGACGCTGCAACACGAAAGCGTCACACACACATAGACACTCGAGATTCAGGACCCTGATCAGATGGATCGTCACAAGCCACTGTGGGGCTGACCCATCGGCCACTCGACGAGCCAGCCGAATCATGTCGGATGTGTTCCCCGCGGCTGTCAGTGTCCTGAGTTGTTAGGCACCAAGGCATTGAGGAAAAAACGAGGGTGTAGGGTTGAACCATGAAAGCTCTCAGGGTACTGATGGGTGGCTCGCGGCAAGGGTACCCGCATGCCAGCCCACGCACTACCAGACAAAGCGCCGCTCCCCCATAACGTGCGTCTTTCAACTACGCCGCAGGATAGTGTGACACCCTTGTCAGTCTGGACTGCTCGTTTTCGACTAGCAGTCAAGGCTGTGTACGTAGGAAGGTGGGCATGCTGAAATGGTACGGGCCAAGTCTCGCTCTCGCAATACCAGACCACTGGGACTGCGTCGTATTGATCGATCTTTTAGCATTCTTTTGGATGAGGGGCTATACAAGCCTCCACGGAGCTGGGGGCGCGGTCATGGCCTCGCTATTGCGTCAGATCCATATTTCAGATGGTCCTGCCTGCCACAGTCGAGATCGAGTTCAGGTCCAGATTCTCCCCATACTTTACAAGAGAACGCCACCCTCGTTACTTAAGTCACTGCCACCCCTTCTTCACATCACCCATTCACAACCTAGCTACATTTGTACGTTTGCACACATCATCTTCGACACAAGTGCTGGTGCTGACCAGACACCAGATTCATATCAATCATGATGGAACGACGTGCCCACACCTTTACCTCGAGCCCGTATCAATATACGGGAAGCTACTACACATCTCCCGGCCCATCGACTTGCAGCGAGCATGGCCCGATGACGCCTGAGCCCGGCCATGTATCGTTCGATACCCGGATGCCCTTTCAGAACTTTGGACGCGAACCAGCAATCAGTCAGCCACTGAGTGCTCCCATGGACATCATGGACCCGTGGGCGCTCGAAGCACCTCCTTGCGGCAGCCCACTGTCTACAAGCTCTTCCATCAGTCACCCCGAGAGCGTACCAACACCACCTTTCACCGGTCTGTCAATGTACGAGGCCCTCGAGCCAGCTTTCCATCACCCCCGAGACACTTCAGTCAGCTACCCAGCTTGCACAAACGACACGGATCCTCTCTGGCAGTCCAACTACGCAGATCCCGCCACTTGGGACTCACGATCGTTTGTCCTGCCCTACCAAGGCGTTCCAAACTACGGACCGCGTACGCTGCAGTTGCCCCCGAGCTTTCCAACTCAAGCACACGTTTCAGCGCCTGGACCCCACACGGCATACCATACATCACAGCAGTACTCCATAGTTCACCCCGTAAACTCTGCAGACATCAAGATGAGCTCCCCTGTCAGCAACGAAGACGATAGCGAGGGACAAACAGACTGGGACTCTGACGACTCGGACTCGGACGACGGCCCCCCAAGCGACAACTGGACCAACACGGCCACGAACAGCGGACGATCCAAGCACTTCTTCAAGGTCCAAGGCTGGCCCCGCTCCACATGCAATGCTCCTACGCGCTCGGAGACGGGCAAATTCGAATGTCAGCACCTCGTCGGCCCACAACACACGCCGTGCCGCAAGCGCTTCGGGCGCCCCGAGCATCTGAGCCGCCACATCCGAAGCGTGCACCGCATCGGGCTGAAGAAACTCGACGTGTGCAGAGTCCCCAATTGTCAGAGGCCCTTTACCCGCAGCGACAACCTGCGCCAGCACTACTTTATCCACCTCAAGGTCCCCAAGCGCAAGAGCAATAACCCCAAGTTGACGTGGCCCGAGATGAAGGAGATCCTCAATACCAAGAAGGACAGGTCGCTGCGCCGGTGGCTCAAGGCGAAGCTCAGAGAGGAAGAAGAGGCACGCTTGAAGTAGTGTGTATCAGTGTGTCGTTTGGTCGACGGCATCCGACAAAGTGTAGAAGATCACGACCCCTATTTCGGTTTTTGTTCTGGGTATTTCCAATCTTTCACGGTGTTGGGGAGGCCAGTGTTTGTCGTGCCTAGGCATGCTTTTCTGTGCCATGTTTTTACTGTTATTGTTATTGTTGTCTTTCTTCGCTTCTTCGACTATCGTTTCGTAGATTTTGTTGCTGCCGCCCACGCCCCCTTCCCTCCCCCCTTTTTTTGGTCCTACAATATACAACCAATGTCTCCGAGAAAGAAGCATGTATCAACTCATGAATTCTACGGCTGTTTTCAATACAATACACACAAACACACGAACTGCATTTGTGAAATGGCCAGAAGACGCCCCTGGTGTGATCGCCATGGACGCACGTTGCTGAGCATCACCCCACGGGATTCCTAGCCGACGGGGAAAAAAAGACGCACGACATGAGAAACCACTCACATTACCAGAGAGAGCTGCAGTAATGCCCCATAATTGGGCTAACGAAATTGCGAGCAATGCCAGCCGCTCGCCAGCCGACTTATTCTCGCAGTCACTCTCAACGACGGTGCAAAAGTGCAGCCCGACTACACGCTAGCAACGCATGTGGCTGACCTGGTCGAACCTGCATAGAAGGAGCACTGACACTGATCAGAAGACAAGATACAGCCAATCAGTCTGCCTTGGCTGAAAAAAAAACGGTTTGGGAGGTCCCTACATGCACATGGAGAGAGACCGGGGGTGTAGGGTGTGGGAACAAGGGGGGGGGCTGGTAAAAGCGAGAGAGAGAGCTGCACGAGCATGAGGCAGAGCTTCTCCCTAGGCGGATGGCGTCCGGTTCGCCAGATGCTCGATTAGACGGCGTAGCGTGCGTCTGCCGGGCGGGCGGTAAGTTGGTCACGGCGTGGGCTGTGGCCAAGGAGATACCTTGTCAGCCCCGGGGGGAGAGTTTTCAGACTAGCCTGCTAGCAGCTAAAGGATGGACGGGAGGGCAAGGGTGAGGTTTGAAGGACACATTGCGCACTGGCCGTTTGCAAATCAATCCGATGCCAGCTTAGAAATACACCAAGTCTTGTTTTGCGCACGCGCGTGTGTGTGTGTAAGTAAAGTAGACCATGTTGTCCCGCGTGTCTTAACGTCATTGTCGTACGATGCATAGATTCGACATGGCTATCTAAAGTCCCCAGAAAGAAAGAAAAAAACCAGCTCCACTGTGCCACAGCAACACACACACACACACACACAGATTTGATGTGCAGCAAAAGGAAGAAGAAATAACCCACAACGCCTGCGTTCGTTGTGTGTTGTAATCCCCGGCGTACAGCCCCGCGAGGCTCTGAACCATACAAATTCCATCCAATGCAGCATTTTTTTTCTTCTTTTTTTGGATCTACTCGTGACAAATGCCGGCTTCTGCAAAGGGCATAGATAGGATAGACCCACAGGAGCAACGACTGGAGTCAAGCAAGAGAAGCGGCACACACACACACACACACATACAGGCTGTGTGAATTGAGAACAAGTAGTGGCCCGAGGCGACGCACGCACACAACCCGTCATAGGTCTGGAGCTGGCTTCATCACATTCCTTTCCCGCGCGCCGCAGCGCTTAACACGGGCCAAACAACAGCGGCATGGCACGCCACGGACAGGCCGCATAGCCTCTCAGCGCAAAACATGTGGGGTAGGCGTGTGGTTACTTCGAGTCCAACGTCGAGTACGAGGCGGGAGAGGTCCACGTGATGGGGGGGGGGGGATCGTCCATCCAGTCTGGAGACAGCGAGAGAAAGAGAGAAAGAGAGTACGTTGCCGTGTTTCTACTAGGATATGCTTGCAACCTCCCCCCTCCCCTCCCCCATTCCATGTCCACCATGGACACGCGGAAAGCTCCGGTACTTACCTTAGGACCAGCCTCTCATACTAATGCAAACGATGGCTTGTCACATTTCCCAGCGTCGTATTATGATTGTTATTATTATTATTATTGCTGACCATGGTCATGTGTCTGGCCGTGACCGTGGCCGTGGCCGGAGCAGGAAGTTACCGCGAGCAGCATATTTCTCACAGCCAGGAAGATCCAGGCAACTCAGCATTCGGTACCAGCGTCCCAGGACACGGCTCGAGGCCGCTTTGAGGCGAGGGAGGGGGGGGGTGGGCAGAGATAACATGACGGGGTGTGGGAGAAGACGGCATGACATGTGGGCCACGAGGGCAGCACAAAGACTTCTTTTCTTTGTTTGGAGCCACATAGACTGCGATCCTACGAGTGATCTGGTCCTTCTCCATACGTGCAGACAGCAAAAGAGATGGAGAGATAGAGGTAGAGAGCCCAACATACGATTTGCCCATGCCAGCAAATCAGTTTCTCCCACCTCTCTCTCTCTCCCTCTCACTCGTGCTCGTTGGCGCCCCCCACACACCAACAGCAGCACGATGATCGTTATGAAAAGCAACCTCGCCCCCGATGCACAGCGTCTGGGCGGCTGTCAAAGGACACACATGCATGCCAGCAAGGATCCCGTCATGGCCCGCATGCATGCCACCTTCCCAAAGCAAACTGACCGCATTTCTGCGGCTGTTCGCTGGCACTGGCGTGCGATCCACTTTCCCCACAGTCAAATCCTCTTGCATGGGGCTGGAATGCTGCTCAGGCACGTGGCTGGGGCGGGCACTTAGGGCTGCATGTTTCGTCGTCAGCCCATGTACTTAGCCGCGAAGGGGAGCGAGCGCGAGATGGAAGATGTGCGGACCGGCCGGCTCTGTGTAAGGGGGGGAAGAGGCGGATCATCTTGGGACTTCTTGGATTCTCTCTCTCGAAAAGCAGGTACCGAGTCGTAATAGCGGGTTTGATGTATGATTCTGTGGCAACTCTCCTCTCTCCACTTGACACAGCTAGGTATTATGCACGGCTTCTGGATCGGGGGGACTGGCGGCTTTGGGCTCCGAAACGAGGGGAGGGAGGATCTCTTGTCGTGGGTGGATGCGTAGCCTCTTTCTACTTCTCTTTCTCGTTTGCGTTAGGTTGGAGGGGATGTATGGGCGCTAGATACGATGCAGGTGTGCATAGGCGCCTCTCTTCCCATGGCGTGCGTGTGTGCTGTGTGTATGCTGCGGCTCGAATCGAATTGCATCGCATGGTCACATCACCACCAACTGTCCTCCCACCACCACCCCCAACGGTCTTCTCTTTCTCCATCGACTCCCTCATACCAAAAAAAAGGCCTTTTTGACCCCCACCCGTAAGCACACACAATGCGTGCGGAACAAAAAATGTATGCCGTGAAACCCCAGCATAGACGCCTCGATGATGGAAGCCATGCCACCACGGCGTATTCTTTCGACGCCACTAACCAAACCCAACACGCCCAAGAACGCACGCTAAGCCATAGTTTCCGTCATTCACTGCCGCATGGACCGTGCGCCGCCATTCCCTCGCTCGTATTCCTGTTCCCTCTTTTTTCCTTTCCCCCAGCGCCACGCAAAATAAGTTCAAACTAAAAAAACGCCCCGCGGCGCCGCTAAACTAACCTCATCCACGTCCTCTACCACCACCATCCCTCCACTCGTACCCATCTCTTCCACACACGTGAGCCACTCGCCATTTTTTTTTACTTTTTCCTCTCAAGCCATTGTGCTGGGCACGTGTTCTCTTGTTTCGATCCCCTTGTTTTCAATTGTGACTAGAAGATGGGGGGAGGGGGGGGGAAAAGGCGGTCTGGGTTACAGTAGTAACCTCATGCACGGTTGGTTTTTTCCAAGACCAAGAGCATGACGCCACCCCCACCCCTTGCGTAGACGTTTTATCCAGGCTTCCGTGCTACTACAGCCATGCAGGCAGGGCAAGGCAAAGACGAGGGGCAAAGGCCATTCCTTTGGTTGTGGTTGTGTGCACCCGCAGCCCAACTCCTACTTTCTCCTCCCCACGTCCTTTGAAACAGCATGCCCATGTCTGCATCGCGCTTATCGGGGCGAAGGAAAAGAAAAGAAAAGGGTTGCTTGTACGACAGCTGCGGTTAAAAATCACCCATCCCGCGTTTCGGCAGCGAATAGAGTGTGTCGACGTTAGATCCGGTCAGAGGGCCAGGGGTTGGATTGGAGGACGAGGGGGGAAAGCCAACACCACTCAAACAGCCAACAACAACCCATCATCTTGTGCCGTTTTTTTCTCCATCTCAGCCGCAGTCTCTGTCTAAACCGCAGTCAGAACAATGAAAAAAACAGGACTGACACCGCCTGACATGCAGTTGACGGCGTGAGCGTGAGCGGCTACAGTACCCCACGCTGGTACGCACATACATGCATACATACACACACATACATGTATGCATGCGGCTGTGCGTGTACTTCGCCTCCACACACACGCGCCCTGACGACGTTGTATTGCAGTTTCCCCTACGCACAACACACCAACAATGCTATTCTGGTCGCAGGTGCAGCAAAGAGACGGCGTGTGGGTATTCTGAGACGTCCAGCGAGATTCCAGTGGGCCTGCTGCCGATTGTGCATGTCGGCACGCCGACATATATGTCGCCGTGTTATCGACATGCGGCTATCCGGCATCTGAGTGCCGCTGGACGCGGATAAAATGCTCGCCAGCTTCACCCGCTCGCGTGATTCGCTGCGCTGAACAACCTCGCATTTGGAAAGCGCGCGGCGTAGTCTTGCAACTGACTCAGTTGCCAGTCTGTTGCACGGGAAGCTGGCCTCACTATGATAAGGGGCGGGGGGTTCTTTGCAATCGAGGCGTCGGAAACGGGCAGCCTTGGGTATGACGTGCGAGGTGGGAAGTAATGAATGGCCTTGATTATCCGTGTCTCGTGAGTGTTCGCCTCATAACTTGCTTGGTTGCCTTGTGGCTTCCGCCGTTTCGGAGACTCCGCGTATGCAAAGCGCAATATGTGTTCCGGTGGATGATCAACAGGGAGTCGGGGGTCGGGTGTGCAAGCCGAGACGCAAGTGGAGATGTGAATCCAGGAGGATGAACACGTAGTGTGGAAAGCATGGGGGACAACCAAGTCAGGACAACCGAGGACCAGGGTCTGGTTTGAGCGTGAAACCATGCTCGCGTACATAGACTTTTGTCAGTACATCTTTTGACTCAATCGTAGATTTTTTTTAAGAGATAAGGGACTGGGATCAAATCATGATGCTGCGTAAGGCTGCATCGCCATGTCCTGATACTATGTGTCGAATATAAAGTTTAGAGAACTGGACGTGGAGAAGAGAAAAAAAGTCGAATGAAGCTTAAGGGCCAGAATGAAAAAAGGTCCAAGTATATGATCCTTTGTACACTGTAACATGCGTTAGTTTGATGTCTTGAAAGCCAAAAGTGACTCACAATTTGGATATAACAAAGCCGCGTTTTTCGCAGCTGTTGACTCGAGCATGGATTCGACTTGTGCGATTATACGGCCATAGAGTTTGTCGAGTAGCCTCTGGCAGACGATATGGCTACCACCGGCCTCGGCCTCGGCCTCTGTCACGCCAATCATCACCACCTCCACGTCCTCTCCCTCTTCCAAATCCCGACTCTCGCTCTGGCGGTGCCTCGCCTCTTCTCCATTCTCCAGATGGCACACCCCCGCCACTCATTCTTCTATCGTCGAACCTGCCGCCTCCTCTTCCTCCCCTCCCGTAGCCACCACCCCAATCGCCTCGGCCGCCAAATCCATTCTCTCTGCCCCTTCCGCCGTACGAGCCAGGAGGCGGTCCTCTTCCTGGTCCAGACAATGGCGGAGGCGCTGCTGGTACGCCGCCGTCGGGCAACGGGGGAAGGATGGCACATGCAATGTAATCGCCAATGAGGAACTTGACGTCAGCGAGGGACCTGTCCGGGTCGCCATCAAGCTGCCTGAGCGCCTCTGCAACACTCCCGCCATCGCTGCCCTCCATGTCTACATCATCGTGCCTCGACGGTGCGCCCACAATGACAGAGCCTATGTCCCGCGATATATATCGGCCTGGTGCGCCTGGTCGGTTGGATCCTTGTATGTCGGGATACACGAGCCGGAATGCGATGCGCGCGCCTGCATACGGCTGTGGTAGCATGCTGGGGACTGCGCTCAGGAGAAGCTGGCATAGTTCGCGCAGAGTGCAGCTCTGCCATGTGTAGATTTGGACATTGGTTGGAAGACGCGGTAGTGTCGGGTCGAATTCATCTAATCTTGGGCCTGTTAGTGTGACTGTAGCCCTGCGGTTTGCTGTCACTTGCCTGTGGAATGAACCCTGCTTGAAGAAGAGGCGTAATAAGAACGGCGTCGTTGTTTGCCGGTCAATCTTGGCAGGAGCGGCCATTGTGAGGTTGGCCTTGTCGGCAGGCAAAGATCACAGCGCTTTGGATTTGTTCGGGGATTTCAGAGAGTGTTTATAGCATGTGTGGTAGACCAAACTCGTAAACTGGTATTTCGTCATGCGACATTGGCAGAGCCCAAGTGAGGGTACGCGACGCGGAGAGCTCGCACTAGCGCCTCTTCGGCAGAACCACGCTGCCGAACCACCAACTTGGGTGTCGCATTCAACCCTCGCTCTTCACCTGTATCCGACACAACACAGTCGCCAAGATGGACTTTGCAAATCTAATGTCTGCGCATATCAAAAAGGGCAAAGAAACAGCCGCCCCAGCCGAATCCAGCGATAAAAAGTACCTTAAACGCAGTGAACTCGAGGCGCAACGGCAAGCGGCGTACCTAGCTGAGCAGGAAGCCGCAGAAAAGGCGCGGCTGGAGCGGCTGGAGAAGAAGCGCAAAGCCGAAGAAGATGAGGCGGAGAAGGAGGCTCAGCGGCGAGAGAAGCGCATGCGCATGGCTGAAGAAGCACGGCGGATTAGAGAAGAGGAGGAAGAGGCAGAGGAGCGGCGGCGGAGGAAGCGCCTAGGCTTACCCGATCTGCCGCCAAAGAAGGAGGGAGAAGGAGATGGCACGCCTGTGCCCGGGGACGAAGACATTGAGGATGAAGAGCTGGTGGCAAAGCTGAGGGCTCTCGACGAGCCGGCGCGGCTCTTTGGCGAGACACACAAGCAGCGGCTGAAGCGATACAAGAAGCGCGTCGGCGCAGACAGCCTAGCAGCAATCATGACGGATGGCCCGATCCCGACAACGCTGCAGCTGGTGCCAGAGAAGGACATGAAGGTCAATCGGCAGGCACCAAAGGACAAGGAAGGCAGAGAGTTTCTCTTCAGGCAGCTGGCCAGCTACTTCACAATGGTGCTCAAAGAGTGGGAAACAACGCTGGCACGTCGAGACGCCGAGGTCAAGGAGAGCTACCAGGGAAAGCAAGCCTATGCGGCCATGGTGCAGGCGCGCGAGAACATGCGTCCGCTATTCAAGAAGCTGGAAAAGTCTGATCTCCCAGACAGTATCATCGAACCCGTGGTTGAAATTGTACATGCGGCGCAGGAGAGGCGATATGTGGATGCCAACGACGGCTATCTGCGCCTGAGTATCGGCAAGGCAGCGTGGCCCATTGGTGTCACCATGGTGGGCATCCACGAGCGAAGTGCGAGAGAAAAGCTGCATGAAAGCGACAAGAACGCAGCACACATTATGAGCGACGAAATCACGCGCAAGTACCTGCAAAGCATCAAGCGGTGTTTGAGCTTTGCACAAACACGGTGGCCACCAACCGACCAGTTGCAGCTCATGGGTTAGTCAGATGTGCTTGATGTGTAGATAACAAGATCAGTAACTCTGCCTAAACCTTGCGTGCAGTGCATTCTTTGGCTCACAGTCTCACATCGAGTATGATGACGTATCGGGAAAGTGCGTGGAGCGCTCCTCCCTCAATCGCGTGAGCACGTGCGGGGCACTCGCAGAACTTGACCTCGACCAATCGCCGTCCATCCCTACCTACACCTCCAACGTCTCTTCGCACACTTTGCTGCTACCTGGTATTGTCTAATTTCTCTCAAAAGCTTGTTCTCGCCATGCACGAGATTGTGACGCTGCAGTTTGGCACACAGAGCAATTATCTTGGATCGCACTTTTGGAACACCCAGGCAAGTACAGGATTGCGCAGTCTGTCAATGCCTCGTTTGGTAATCTACCCCGTATCATGCCTGACTCTTGAAGGAATCCTACTTCACTTATCCACCAGAGGAGGAGTCGCCTGTCAACCATGACATTCTTTTCCGGCCCGGCCTGGCGCCAGACGGCTCAGACACCTTTACTCCAAGGACCCTCATATACGATCTCAAAGGCGCCTTTGGGAGCATGAGGAAAATCAATGCATTGTACGAGGCCGAAGACGATAGAAGCATCTTGGATCAACCAGGCGTCTGGCCTTCTAAGCCCATCATTCAACGCGCAGCTGAGACCATTCCGCAATCAGCTTACCAGGAGCATCTCGATGCTGGTCTCGAGCCACCGCCACTCAGTACGTCCTCGGTTCGGTACTGGTCCGATTACAGCCGTGTTTACTATCACCCCAAGTCCATTGTGCAGTTGTCCGAGTTTGATGTCAACGACAAGCTCATGCCGTTTGAGAACTGGGATGTAGGTATGGAGCTTTTTGAAAAGCTTGAACGAGAAGTGGATTTGGTTGACCGCGATCTTCGTCCTTTTGTGGAAGAATGCGACGGCATACAGGGGCTGCAGATTTTCACTGGCGTCGACGGGGCGTGGGGTGGCTGGGCCTCGGAGTGGCTCGAAAGACTGCGAGATGAGTACGGAAAGATGAGCATCTGGACCTGGGGTCTTGGTGATCATGGTGCTAATACCACCGTACCAAGGGTTTGTCACTACAGGGTCGGTTCGAGGCAATTCCACTGACATTGTTCAGGAAAAACGACTACAGCAGATTGGAAACTCGGCTCGGTCATTACAGGTACTCGGCGAGCAGTCTTCAGTCTACGTGCCAATGTCAAATACCCCTGCTAAACTACCAAGCTACCTGAAACTAGATGCGACATCGCCGTGGCACATGGCGGCTTTGCAGGTTGTGGGGCTGGAAAGCATGACTATTTCGTCGCGCTTGAGATCCACCTTGGGCGGCCGAGGTACACTTCAAGATCTAGAAGATACCATCAACAGTACTGGGAAACGGCGGATCGCCAAGTTGGAGATGAGCATTGCAGATCCCGATGTTCTCTTCGAGAAAGCACTGGATAAAGCCGAATCCATTGCGAAAGTTGGATCGACAAGATCAAGACATACGAGTGAGGGCGAAGACGAATTAACGGATTTCGACATCGATCTCTTTACGCGTGACTACCGGTCCGCCGCGGCTCGCACGAAGAAAGAGCATATCTTTGGGAGGGCCGAGGCTTCTCGCGGCGAGTGGACCTTATCCGAAAATAGCGAACGAGATCCTCATGACAGATTTGACAATGGGCCCGTAGTCCAAAGGTATGTCCAATATTTTTCCTTGCGTGGAAGCCCATTAAGACCATCGTCTACTTCCTTATTCTATTCTCGCTGCGCAACACTAATTTCCCCACCCCCTCTCCTGATTACCGAGCCGAACGAATACTTACTCAGCACGCACTTACCACCTCCAGATACACGGCACCTCTCCTCTTCCCCGTACTCGACAGCTTCCCCAAGGCCATATTCGACGTGGGATCCGGACATGCCCAAAAACTTGCTGTCCACGCTGGCCTCACAACAAGTACAGCTGTGGCAGCGCAAATACGCACGATCGAGCCAATCGTCAAGCGAATGGTTGCAATCGAGGAAAGAGAGGTCCTGGCTAACAGCCTTCATGGCCTTGCGGAGGAGTACGACCAAGGCTGGGATAGTGCTTCTGACAGCGACGATGACTACTAAGTGCGCCCGGTCTGCGCTGCGTTAAAGAGTGTCGCATAGGCCCGCGCATAGCCAAACGAAGACTGGTTTTACAAGCACAAGTCTTACTCAGCCACTCATCCACACCACATGTTCTTGTATCACCGTGCCTGTGCCTGTGCCTGTGCCTGTGCCCAGGTTGAACAAGGGGGGGGGTTTGAGGCGGGGTAGCAGCACGGCGTGGTGCGGTAAAAGGGCATTTGGGACGTGAGCAATGTAACGGCGCAGGTAAGGCAGGTCGGATCTGTTTCGGTCGTAGGATCACTCAGAGGCATATGGGAGTGCGTGGGATCACAAAGAGCCTAGATTCAACAAGCCACCTATAGGCCTTGTACGAAAGGATATCAAAAATCTACTGAGCTATCTACAGGAACTGTCCCAATAAATATAAACTAGAGTCGGGTCCGATCCGGACCCGAGTTCCCAAGGTGGGACTGCGGCGTGGACAGCAGGCATTGTTGTCCTGCGGCGGATAGTTGTCCCGATCCGACTCCGCTGTGGTTCCGGTACTTGGCGGGGCTTGTAACATCGTTACAAGCAAGTGTGCGACTACACAACTCCATGTACGTACATAAGGTCAATAAAGATTTTCAGTAACGTGGTTCACAAGTGAGTCGCTAACCTAAGCGAGTC